CAAAAAAGAAACTTCAGCACCAAAGTAATTCCAAGAGAGTGATAACGGTTGAGTAAATGCATTTCTCAGACTTAGCATTTTTTTAAGAGGTTCATTTGAAGCTACGATTGTCTTTCATTAATGGTGGGACTTTTTAAAATAAAAAAAGTAACAGATGCATACACTAATAGGGTAAGCCACATCAAGAAGCTTCTTGAGTTCGCAGGTTTGTCTTTCAAAGAGGAGGAAATCACTTTGGAAAGAAAAGCGTACTTATTCACAGGCAGACTATAAACACTTCTGATCAAATGGAAGAAGATGGTGTATTTCAGGAGCAGTCCTCGTATAACCTACATTTCCACCATTTATGTAATGTGACATCTTAGCATTTCAAATTACCCTTCAAAAGCGTAGAAACGTTTTATGCCATTTTTGATTGGCATCACATACAAAAACATTTGTGTATCAACTTAACATTTTGTGTTGCTTTTCCCTGTAAAAAGAGGATGAATCCCATGCTATAGCAAGCAAGTATTCCCAGCTGCTGTGGTCCTCTGTTTCAGTTGAGTTGGGGCAGGAAGAAGGAAGAAGTATTTTGTACTGAAATAATCACCATGTAAGGGTGGCTGTCATTTCTGTCACTGGTGAGGGTTGTAATTTAATACACAAGGCACAGTGGGAGAAAGGCGAGTTTTCTTCCATTTCTCCACCCTTATAATTATGCTTTTTAGTAGCATGACCGAAATTGTTACTTTTTTAATTGATGAGGATTTTAAGCTGAAAAATGCAACTTTAGGTTTGCTGTATCATATTTTAACAACAGATAAGACATCCATTAAAATTACCTTGCTTTTTCCACTCTGGATGGGCTGTAATGGCTGTAAGATGCTATTTCTGGATATATTGGGTTTATCTCTTATTTGAAATCTAGATAATAAATGCTGGCTAGTACACAAGCGCTCGGTAGGTACCAGGCACCGCATAAATTGTATGAATTATCTCAGTCAATCCTTCCGAGCTGGTGACAAGGAAACAGTTTAGCATATCCCCATTCGCCAGTCTGAATAAGATCAAGTTAAGTGACTTTCCCAAAGTTAACTGCTGGTTAATTGTGGAGCCAGTTGAACCTGAGCAGTCTGGCCACTGGGTTTAGGCTCCTCTCGTCTATGTCCTGCTGAGTCACTATAACGGGTGGGGACCAAGGGTAGAACACGTTTAGTGACAAAAATCAAGAGTAAGGCAAATTGAAAGTGAGATATCTATGTCTTGTATCCTCAGGACTGGAATATATAGCATGTAGCATCCCCCAGTGTCCACAGGGAACTTGTTTTTAGGCCCCCAGCCCCACAGATACTGAAACCTGCATAAGCTCAGGTCCACTGTGTAAAGCAGCACAGCACTTGCATGTAACCTGTGCACTCCCTCCGTGAACTAAATAATCTCTCGGTGACCTGCAATACCTACTACAGTGTAGAAGCTGTCCAGACGGCTGTCGCATACTACTGCTTGAAGAATGATGGCAAGGAAGAAAACCTAACACGCCCCCTATAGTTGCGCTTGTTTTTCGGAATACTTTCCATCCAGGGTTGAACACCTCAAAGGCGGATACCACAGGCCACCGACTGTACATGTTATTGAATGATGAATAAGTTGTAGTGAGTGAAAGGTGAGGATGATTAAAATAATCATCCTCCGTGCTCACGCCAAGTAGAGTAGCAACAAAAACACTCTTAGTAGACTTGTCCTGCAGTGCTTTGGCAGGGCCCGAGCCCAAGAGCCCGCAATTCAGCCCGACTCCCCTCCTCGGGTTCAAGCCCCTGTGCTCCAGGACCGGCCACCTCACCTTTCTGATCTCCTTTGATTCCTTTCAGAGGATTGTGATCCGAAAGCACCAAGCCATGAAATAGGAGGGTGGTTAGTGTCTTGGCCTCCATCTAAATTTCCCTTTCCTTCCTACCACATTTCCCTCTGTTCCCAGGGAAACTTGTGATCCAGAGCCGCAGCAGCAAGCACACCCTGGGGAGCTAATCAGGGTTTGGTGTCCTTGTGATGGGACAGCGGACCTGAGGAGCAACCTGTGTCCCCCTCTGTCCCTGAGCCGGAAGCTTCTTTGAGGGATCTTTGGTTTATTTTCTCAGAAATCCACGAGGAAATCCTGAAAGATACCCCTTTCTGTTAAAACCGGCATGGCGGTTCTTGAGGAATTTAACATTAAACCAATGGCTAAGTATGAAATTTAGTTTTTCTTTTCTTCCTTTGTGGCAGTGCCAGGGATGGAACCCGGGGCCTCACGCTCAGTCCCCGGGTTGTTACTTCTGTTGCCTTCCTCTTTGCTGTCCTGCCCAGACTCTGCTAAGTGACCTTTTCGAGAGGTGGCCCTGCACCTCCAGACGGATGGCAGGGACCAGAAATCGCTCTAGGTCACCTTTGTCCTCAGTCACGCCCTGTCCCTTGTGCCGCCTTTTTGCCTGGGTGTTGGCATCAAACTTAGGTGAGAAAGACATTGAATAGCCATGAGCCTTCCTCGATAGAATGCAGCAGCTGCGCGATGATGGGGACGAGGGGTGTGTTCAGCAAAAAGGAGGGCAGGAATGGAATGCTTTGCAAAAGCATTGAACAAACAAGATATTTCAGTGGGAGGCACATCTCGTGTGGGGTTGGACAACGTTATATAAAAATCTCGCTGTACTGCATTGTTCCCTTTTCTCCATCACCAAGGGGAGAATATGGCTTGGAGGATTTTCCTTTTAGTGTGCCTTTTGGAAGCTAAGTGAAGAAGACAAAATATTTATAGTATCAGATAAGAAGTAGGCTCAGGTAGTTATGATTTTTACAGTTGTGGTTCTGATGCCTAGGAAATTATTTGCCTCATCTTTCTGGCTAACCAAGGGCATCCATGTCCCTCGTAACCTTTGTCTGAACTCCTTCCCTTACCTCTGTCCTGAGGAAGTCCCAGCATGAGATAATTATCTCCACGCTCAGGTTTCACACGGGCACATTACTGGAGATGACAGGTGCATAACAGTGGATGGATGCGCCCATTACTTTTCTGACAGAGTGGCAGGGAGAGCGTTCAACCTGCCTCTTAGTTTGGTTTATTAATTACCATCGCATGAGCATCCTGGAGGCCTAACAGCTGTGGAGGCAGGGGTAATATTTCCTAAGTTTTAAGGACGTGGCCCAACTTCTCATTTGATTTTAACAAGCTGTTCAGTTTCTTCTCACTTAACTGGAATGAATTCCAGTAGGAGGTGGTAGTAAGAGCAGTTGGTCCACTGCTTAGAAACAATGTTGGCCCATTTCCCCAATGCCTCTGAGGTTTGTTGTGCTGGGAGAAATACTGTTCTGTGTACAGCAGTTAACATTATTCTCATTGGCTGTAAGAGGTATTTTATGTACATTTCCCTGTTGATAAAGATAGATTGGTAGAGTTTGACAATGAATTCACCTACCTGGCTCAGAGAGTTAAACTCTGAGCATGCTTGTCATCACTTTGTAAGTCAAAGACTGATGCCAACTAGCAAAAATGATTAATGACACTTATTACTGACTTTCCCAATATCTAAACAGTGGCCTTTGGTTTTTATTTTTAGTCCTCCTTGAAGAAGACAAGGTTCATACCAAATTGTCTAATACCAGCCATCAGCTAGTAAGTCATACTTTGCTTCTTGGCTGTAGCATTAATGCTTACATATCCTTTGGTTGCACTGGTTTTTTATGTGTTCTCCTTGGTCCTGAAACAAGTAGTCATCCAACCACAGCGGAGCTGTCTCTCATAAGGGAGATCATATGAGGAGTGTCAGGGTCGGGATTTGGGATGGATGGGTCCCTGTTTAAAGTGCTTTTCTGGGTAGTAGGGTGTTACACTTTTGAGTTTACATCGAGGGGAGCGTTGCTCTGTGGATGAATAGGGACACATGCGTCCCCTAGGAGATGGGGTAACACGATGCCATGCGGGTCCTGGGGTGCCAGCTCCACCCAGGGTGTTCTGCAGGTTGGCCCCACTCAGCCCCGTGATCTTACCTCCTCCAGCTTCCATCCCTTTGGGCCTATCTTAGAGGATGTCTTTGGGCCGGTGAGTCATGTCAGTTCTGAAGTCCTTCCTCCTGTCCCTCATCCTTGCTGCAGGAGGCCCCAAGGAAGGACACCCTCCAGCTGAGGAAGCTCCTCTGTGTGTCTGGAGGTTAGGGCTCTATTGCATCCCAAAATGTCAGTACCAGATGTCAGTTTTTGGTCTGTGACTTAGATACGTGCTTCACGGTGGACCAGGGCTTCTTCCCGTCTTTGCCTCTACAAGAACAGTCCATACTGACCAGTTTCTCAAGAATATTCTGAGAAATTAATAAGGAAAGCATAGCAGTAGCTTCTACTTACTGAGGATCTCTATATGCTAGACTTCTATATACATGGTCTCTGACCCTTACGGTAGCCTTCGAGGGCCAATGTTAGGTCATTGAAAGGTGAAGAATCTGACGTCTGTGAAGAGACCTAGCTACCTAGTATGGTTTGGGTACGAATGCCCTGCCCAAGGCCCATGACAGCTGCATCACAGCCTGTGTGGTGCTACTGGGAACTGCTCAGGCCTTTGCAGATGGGGCCCCGGGGGATGTGGGTCTCGGAAGAGTGATCCGGGAGGAGGTCTTGGGATCCTGGCCCCTTCCTCCCTCTGCTGTGTGCAGCGCGTCACGTTTCCATTCCTTCTGAGTTGGTACCTGTACATATCGTACCTTAATTCCGCTTTCATCCTCTTTGCCACCCCTCTCCTTCCCACTCTCCATCTTTTGGTCGTTTCCCCTTTGAGAAAGATCTATTTCCCTACTCCTTACTATCGCTCATATGTTTCCCTCCTTATACTTTGGGTTTCTCCTAGGAGAGAGATCGTGTGGTATTTAAACATGTGTATCTGATTTATTTCACTTAACATTGTGGCCTCAAGGTGCCTTCATTAATAAAAAGAAGGTGATCAAAAGATGGCTGGTGTGGGGAGGGAAGGGATAAGGGAAAAAGAAGGCATTATTTTAAAGTGTTATGTACATGGACCAGTTCCTCACAATGGAAGTGAACATTGCATACTACAAACATGGACTAGAAAGAAAAACAGAAGTCCTTCACCCCCTAAAGCTTATTAATGTCTCCATTTGGAGGAGATAGATAAAAACAAAAGTAAGTAACAGAAATACTTAGTATACGAGATTAGTGGTGAGTGTTACGGAGAAAACAGCAGGAGAAGGGGTAGGGAGTGGATGAGTGGACACGGAAGGCATCCTGAAGAGGCCAAGGGTGGGGAGCAACCAGGGGAGGAGCACGTGGGCAGGGAGGAACGGCAGGTGTGAAGGCCCGTGGTGGGAGTGACCTCACAATCGCAGAGCAATGACCGGGTTCCCTGAAGCTGGCACAGTGGACAGGGGGACAGAAGTGGGAGACCAGAGAGCATCGGTGTAGCATTCTTGTAGATCCATGTTTAAGGACTCTGGCTTTCATTTTGTCAAAATGGGAGCTACTGGTAGGTTTTGAGCGAAGAAGGGACGTGATTTGATTTATTTTCTACTGGGGTTAATCTGGTTGTTATATGGGAAATATGAGTCTCCAAAGAGCGTGCAAGAGCGGAATGGGGAAACCACTTGCAGGGTTGCTGGAGCAATTGGACAAGTGGCAATGCCTGGTGGAGCGAGGGGTGGAGACGGAGGTGCGGTGGTCGGGTTGGAGGTGAAGATCTGGTGGACAGCAGGGGAGGTGAGATACGGTAGGTGTTCGTGGAGACGAAGTCGCACTGGGGAGGGTGGGTAGTGGTGGGGCTGGTGAGGTGGTCACGCTTTGGACACCTTTTGAGCGTAGAGCCACAGGGCTTGCTGAAGTACTGTGTAGGAAGTGAGGGAAGGTTGCATGGTTGTTCGTTCTTTCTTGCCTTGTATTTTCTTTGGCTTAAGAACCTGGAAGCACGGATTGGCTGTCGGGGAAGGACTCAAGGAAGACCTGGTTTGGGGGAGAAAGTTCCGGCTTTCACCTTTGCACCCCTTAGGTGTGAGGCAGATTCTGGGGGAAGAGAATAAAGGCTTCTCTTGTCCTTGAGACTCTCTGGTGTGGTCTCAGAATCCCACAGAAACACGTTTTACTGTGCGTCCGGGAGAGAGATGCGTGGGGCTGCGCACAGCACAGAGGCAGCTGGAGGAGGCTGCTGTGGGAGGAGGGAACCAGAGGTGGGCTTTGTGGGAGCCGCACTTCAGTGCAGGACTGAGTCTTGCTGGGGCCCCAACACCTAGGGCAGCCACGGCAGCACAGGGTGCTGGAAAGTTGCGGGCCATGTGCTGGCTCCTTCCTGCTGAAGCTGGTTCAGGGAATTTGAAAAGGAGGACAGAGAACCGGGAAGTGCTGAGGATGGGGTGCCCTTTGTTTGGTGGAGGAGGAAGGGTCAGGGAGCTGCTGAAGCTCTCTCGCTGCCTCTCGGCCCTGACAGCAGTGGAAACACTTGTTTTGTTACCGTTACACACTTTACTTTTAACCAGTGTTCCACAGCTGTAAAACCAGTGTTCCTGGTTGTGCTTAGGGTATTTATTAGGGACGGAATTTGGTGAAGGGCACCGAAATCCATGGGGAACCTCCTCTTGGTGCCACCACAAAGTCCTAGTCAGAAAGGCCCGTCAGGCCGCCAGAGAGAAAAGAACGTATGAAGAAGTAGAAAAGGACTTGATGGGTTCTCTTGACGTTCTGGATCAGGTAAATAAGACCTTTGGTCCTAAGGACTGGCTCAGGTGCTTTGTTCTGTGTAAGATACGTCTGTTATCTCTGCTCTGAGGTGAGCAGGACCTTGACTCGGGTCCTGAGCTGCACTGAAAACACAGAGAGGAGCTGGAGGGCTCCGCACTCGCCGTCACCGAGGCAGAACCGCGGTGGCCCGGGAACGACTTAGCGACCTTTCCTGTCCTTTCTCCCACCTGTCTCCAGTCTGGCACCCCCTGAGCAGCAAGCCTGTTCCCCAAAAGGGGGCACACCCCCTTGAGCAAAAGAGGCCACATTGTTTCAGCAGCAGTCACTAACGTGGGTGACTGTGACGGTCAGATTACTTACTAATCTACTGGGGGACGACGGAGCGTGAGGGAGATGGAAAAATATACCTGTTGTGAACTATAGCTTGAAATGAGTACTGCGTGCTGTTAAAGTTAAGATCCTACAACTCAAGACCACAACCACATGTGCACCTTCTGAAGAAACCAGCAAAATGGCATGGCAACTGCCTTGCCAGTTCTGTGGCGGCAGCAGTCCAAATGCACAAGCACTGACAGCCTTGCGAGGACCCCTGATTGCTCCAAACGCAGCCATGCCATGGCTTTGGACTGGAGAGGTTGTTGCTTTCTCGCTTGGCTAGTGGTTTGCAAACTTCAGTGTGTGTGAGAATCACGGAGGTGCACAGGGAAAGTGCTGGGAGGTGATCTCACGGTGCCCAGTCCAGGTTGTGCTACCTTCTGGGGCTGCCTGGGCTTGCAGCCTCCCCAGAGGCTCTGTGACGTGAGGGAGTGGAGCCTAGGCACCTGTGCTGTGCTTACTCCATGCTCCTGGGCTCAGTCCTCTCCAGATGCCCTAATCCAAGTATGCTGAAGACCAGCCTCCCGTGCCTTCCACCAGAACTGGTCAGCTGCATCCACTGTTGGAGTTACATAAGCACAGGGAGACTGGCTAGGCATATTTCAGAAGTGTTCAGACATGTTATCATTAATTACTAAGTCTATAAAAACCATAGTTACATCCGTGTGATAGCCTACTACCTTAAAGAGTATTTTGAAGAAGCACTAAATGTGTGTAGCTTTGACCACTATCCATCTCTTCAAGGTAATACTTTATTAAATTGTTTTCTTCTGATGACAAAAAAAGAATGCATTTGTAGAACATCTGAAAAGGACAGAGTCCGCTATCGGATGATTGCTTTGCCATTCTCACTGATCACTGAAATACCTTCTTGTGGTGGGTCTGGATGATGAAAACCCAGGTCTGTCAGTCTGTTTTTGTTGTTGCTGCTGTTACTGCACTGAACCACGTGAGGCAAGTTTACTTTGCACAGAAAAGAGATGTAGTTAGCGCACAGTGCTATGGGCTCCAGGGCCCTGTGCATACAGCAGTCCTTCTCTGGGGGACCCTCATGGCAAGTGGGGCTCTGTCACAGCAGATTTCCACTGCAGTGGGAACATTGGGAGAAAAAATTAATCCCTAAACAGGAAGCCAGAGAGCGAGTCAGGGTCAGATTGGCTCTTACAGCAGCAACTGCCATGCTGAGGGCTCCCTGAGGACCCTGCACTGAGCTCTGGCTCTTAAAGACTGAGGACCAAGCTCCAGCACACACACCCTTGACGGACACATTTCAGCCACATCCAAACCAGCACCCAGGCTTGCTCTGCAGCCCCACCAGGTCAGTGGCCGGCCCTGCCTTCTCCAGGCGTCTGGCCTCGTCTTGTGCCTGATCCTGACTTCCTTCCTGCTCCGGGCAAATGTCTTCGTCTGGCTTCTTCCTCCTGCTCCAGGCCCAGCACCCAGGCATCCGTGAAGCTCGCACTCTGCAGGTCTGTGGCCGCCCCTGGGAGCACACAGGGCCCCACGCAGGCCTCTGTCTCCCTCCCACCGCCCCCCTTCTCCTATTCCCTTCCTGCATCTTCCCCACCTGTCCCTGCCAGCAGCTGCTCTGTGGGAGCCGGCACCCCCTTTTCTGCTCGTCTGAGAACCAGCAGAGCACAATACACTGAGGAGTTTATGTGGCTTTTCTACTTTTTACCACATATTAAGCTTTTACCTAGACAGATTTACTTTGCTTTCATTTTAAAATAGACAAATTAAAGGATTAAAACTAATTTCATTGTGAAAACTCAGTAATTAAAAACATTATCAACTCATGAAGGAAAGGTAGGCTTGCGGGGATTAAACCTCAAACACACACACACACACACACACACACACACACACACACACACACACCACACACAAAAATAAACAAACCCTAAAAAGCCTGTAAAAAATACTTAAGATGAACTCTGTTTCAGCTTTTCAGTTTTTATTCAAATTTATTTTTGGCAATAGGGTTTTCAGTTAACCCTCATTGAATTGGAAATAGGTAGATTTGAAAATCGGAAGAGCTATTTGTTAGCTTACTTAGATGAGCATTGGAGAAAAAAGAATATAAAGAGAATGCCATGTACCTGTGGCTGTCCATGTTTTGTAGATTGTGTGGGGAATTCATCCCTTATAATGAAAACGTTAGCCTGGAGCTGCAGCGTAGACCACCATCTCATCCAGAGTACCTCCGAGGAGGAGGGGAGTGGCAGCCAAGTCCAGACCCTAAAGCCTTCATTAGAGTATTTAAGGCACAAACAGGGAGCTCTTCCCACTTCTGGCTTGGAGTAAAGTGCCCTGGAGTCGGGGCTCCTCCTGTCACCTCCACTGGATAACTTGAGAGGCACTGTTTTTAAGCATCTGATTTATATGCCAGTGAGATCTTCTCAGAGAATTCTTTATAATCTCTTTCCATCATTGGCCTTAAGGTAAAAGCTGATGCATTACAGTCAGAACAGAATAATTACATATGTGGCCTCACCTCTGTATTGAAGGATAAATAAGTTCAATGGCTATGGCGCTGTCACAGTGTAGCAAGGCCTGGGTGTCAGGAGAACTCCTGCGTCCTCTCTGTGGACTGTGATACGGGCTCTTGTGAGGTAGCAAAGACACCGTGATGTAGAATTGTGGGAAGATCGAAGTTTAATCATTTGGTTCTGGGATACAGTTAACAGATTAGACAACGTCAGAGTTTTACAAAGTAACTGATTGGCTTGGCGTGCTGATGCCTGCTTGGAATCCCAGTACCGTAGGAGGCTGAGGCAGGAAATTGGAAAGTTGGAGATGTGTACCAGATTTAAAGAGGGGAAAAAGGCTGGAGATGTAGCTCAGCGCAAAGGGTCTGGATTCAAGCCTCAGTTCCAAGAAAGAAAAGAGAATCCTGCCGTTGACCATTTGAACCCAGCTGCGCAGGGGAAGAGGAAACTCACAGCTTGTGTTCCTTTGCATCCAGTGCTCACTGAATGGGGCCCGATTTTCCAGGACCTCACTTTAGACATGTGACTTGTGTCACATTTGCTATATTAAATCATTATTTAATCACCACCAGTTGGCTGGTAATGATTGCATCATAGGACTTTATAAGAATTAAGTAGCAACAGTAGCAGAAAGCCAGGAATTTTCCCATGTAGTTGATTTCTTCTTGGTTTTAGCTACAGAAGTAGTTTTTCATTCTCCTTTATGACTTGATCGGATGTTACTCATACTGAGTGAGGCATCAGGGCTCACTGCCTGGAGCTCTTTGAAAGCCAAGGTGCAGTAATTACAGGCCACTTCCTTTCCAGGGTCCCTGAAGCTCCAGATTATTTCCCCTTCTGTTTCTTGCTAGTTCTCGCTACCCATCCTGCAGGAGCTCACACGCTTGTAGGAAGCTGACTGGAGAGATGCAGGCCATTAGAGGTGTGCACCTGGGAATCGGAGAGCGGGTTATCTGCGCCTGCAGCATTCTGAGAGGCCACCTTTGTCGCTGTGTCTGTCCCTCGCCCCACAGTGGGGACACTGGCCAGAGACCCAAATCCTGAATGCTCGGCCACGCATCTCCAGATGGCCTGATGCCCCTGCTGAGGTAAAAACGTGGGATTTTTAGTTACCGCCTTGCCTGTGATTTTACAACCAGTGATGCTGTAAGGGAGAGACCCATTTCCAGGGGAGCCGTGGAGCCCTCACTTGGTGGGTGAGGACTCACAGCCGCATTTAATTTATGCCTCTTCTGTAGTTCACAACGCGTTTCTCACAGATGCAGCGTCAGATGTAGGGTAATAGAAAAATATGCTCCTGCATTGAAGGTGCCAAAGAGATCTTTTGGCTACTAAGTTCTTCCCTGAATGGAATTGGAATATGAAGGAAATAAGCTCCTTTCCTCTCCTCTTCTGATTTTACCAAAAAGAGCTACAACTGGGAGTTCTAAGCGGCCCAGGTAGACATAGA